CATCATCCATCCATTCATCCATCCATCATACATCCACCATCCATCCATCCATCCGTCCATTTCTCCATCCATCATCTATCATCCATCCATCATCCATCCATCTATTCATCCGTCTATCATCATCCATCCATCCATCCTCTGCCATCCATCCAGCATCCATCATCATCCATACATAGATCTATCATCCATCCATCTATCATACATCCATCATCAATTCATCCATTCATCCATCTTATATCCATCCATCATTCATCCATCCATTCATCCATCCATCATCCATCAATCATCCATCCACCATCCATCCATCATTCATCCATCTATAATCATCCATACATCAACACATAGATCTATCATCCATCCATCTATCATCCATTCATCATCAATTCATCCATTCATCCATCTTATATCCATCCATCATCCATCTTATATCCATCCATGATCCTTCAATTCATCCATCCATCATCCTTCAATTCATCCATCCACCATCCATCCATCATTCATCCATCTATCATCATCCATCCATCATTCATCCATTCATCCATCAATCATCCATCCATCCATCTATCAACCATCATCCAGCCATCCATCAAGTCATCCATTCATCCATCTTATCATCATCCATCATCTATACATCATCCATCCATTCCTCCATCCATCATACATCCATTCATCCATCCATCCTATCATCCATCCATCATCCATCCATCAGTCAATCCATCCATCCATGAGTCATGTTTTTTTCTAGTTAACCCAGTCAAAGGACCTCCTCAGGTATATATTTTGGCAGTTTTTACTTTTCTCACAAGTCAGAGGCTCACAGTCTTGTCTCATGACGTATGAACATGTAAAAAAAATTGTGCAAGCTAAATTTTTACACAGATGTTCTCCTCTAACAGAAAACAAGTTCAGGTACTTAACCACACTGATGATGATAATAACATTTAAAAAAAGAGGTCCTATTCACAAGTCTTAATTTCTAAAGTGTACTCCAGTAGATGAAATCACGGTTGAGTTGCCAACTAGTCTCCTACTGTTAAAATCCAGTGAGATACCAGCCTAAGCAAAAACAGATCTCTATTAAGAGTGCTTATCTTTTTCAGTCAGTAGGTACTGTGGAAAGCTGCGAGATGAGATGAACCGAGACACCAGCTTCATCATGTCTTATGGTCAGCAAGACGAGACCCGGTTAGAGGATCTCTACACTGATACCATGATGGAAATGTTGAATGACTGCAATGAAAGTCTTGGTTTTATAGACTCTCTGAAACAGATCCTGGGGAATGATGGAGTTTTCAATCCCCAAGGTGAAATCATCTATGTGATGGGGGACGCTGGGGTGGGAAAATCCATTCTTCTGCAGAAGCTACAGAACCTCTGGTCCAAGAAGGAGCTGCCGACAGATGCCATCTTTTTTTTCAAGTTTCGCTGCAGAATGTTCAGCATCTTTAAAGATTCGGAGCAGATATCCCTCAGGGATCTTTTGTTCAAATACAACTGCTACCCAGATCACGATCCCAACAATGAAGTCTTTGATTACATCCTGCGCTTTCCTGGGAAGGTTATTCTTACTTTTGACGGCTACGATGAGATTCAGGAGGTTATAGACCAGATAAATGTTCCTGAAATGGTGTCTCCAGAGGACAGCGCTAACTCCCTCCAGCTGCTCATCAGCTTGCTCTCTGGGAAACTACTCAAGGGCTCCAAGAAGGTGCTCACAACTCGAACGGGAGTCGAAATGCAAAGTCGGTTGATCAAAAAGAAGGTGGTTTTACGTGGCTTTTCTCCAGGTCACCTAAAGACGTACATAAATCTGCACTTCAAGGAGCAGGATCACAGGGAGCTGGTGTCAGTTCAGCTGGATGCCAGTCCTCACCTCTGTGGCTTGTGTTCCACTCCATTGTTCTGCTGGATTGTCTTCAAGAGCTTTAGTCACCTGCACACAATGCATGATAGTTTTCATCTGCCTGAAACCTGCCTCACACTTACTGACATCTTTCTCCTACTGTCTGAAGTGTTCCTCAGCCGATCGGCATCTCCTGCTCCTTCTCTGCTGAAGAAAAGTACCCGCTGCACCTCAGAAATTTTCCGAGCTGGGCTCAGGCCTCTTGTGGCATTTGCTACACTGGCCCTTCAAGGTTTGAAGAGGGGGAGTTTTCTTTGCAACCAGATGGAAATCAACGAGTCTGGTCTGACAGAGGAGGACATGGTCATGGGTTTTCTCAGACCTGTCAACAACTTTAATGAGAGTGGCGATACCACTACTTTTGAATTCATCCACACCACCCTTCAGTCCTTTTTGGCAGCGTTTGCTCTTGTATTGGATGAGGATGCTGCTGCCAGTTCCGTCCTCAAGTTTTTTACAGAATGTAGCAGAAAGAGAAAACAACCTTTTCTACCTTTGGCCTGCTGTGTTAGCAGCTCTGAAAAGACCAGTGAAAAGAAGTCCTTTGCAACAAACGAGCACCTTCAGTTTACAAATCTGTTCTTGTCAGGATTGCTGTCCAAAAACCACACAAGTCTGATGGGACATCTGGTGCCTCCTGTTTTATTGAAAAAGAAGCAAGCCTTGTTGAAGTCCTATCTGTCCACCAGTGTCAAGTCCCACCTGCAGGGCTTGCCCGTCTTTCAAGGTAACGAAGGCAAGAAAGTTCATGTTCTGCCCAACTTTCTCTGGATATTAAGATGCATCTATGAGACAGGAAGCAAAGAGATTGCTAAGATGACAGCAAAAGGCATCACAGCGGGTTTCATCAAGCTGGGGTACTGCAACGTGCACTCAGGTGACTGCACTGCCCTAAACTTTGTGCTGCAGCACCGACGGACGCTACTGGGGCTTGACATGGATAACAACAACATCAGTGACTATGGTGTGAAGCAGCTCAGGCCTTCGTTTTGCATGATGACAATTGTAAGGTAAGAAAAACAGACAAACAAAATATCTGAGTCTAAAAGTAAATATTTCAAGCCTTATTTAGTTACCGTTGGTAATACCGGTACTCATGGTAATGTGTTAAGTGAGGGAGTTATTCAATGACACATAAATTCCAAAAGTATGTGAATCAATGATTTTTTATTTATTTATTATATGTACTTGAGTTTGTTTTGTTGATGCTAATGGGTTCTTTTAAAAGCCAGTGAAAAAATGTTCTAACTTTTTTGTCCACAATTCATCTTTTCTTCACTGAAGGCTATCTTGGACCAGATGTAGCAAAACATGCCCAAATCAACACACCACCAATATTATGTCTTAAGAAATGGAATAATAAACCCATTTCTTTAAACATAACATTTTTATTTTAAAGTTCAACCCCAGCTCTCTAAAAGTGAAAATGTGGGTAAAATGTAAAAAAAAAAGAAAAAAAAGAACAAAAACAATTTGCAAATCTCTTAAACACATTATTTTCCACAATGGAACATAAATGTTTAAACTGAGATTTTTTAAAGATCAATTTGAATGTATGGCAGCAACATTTACCAAAAACGTTTGGACAGGGTCATGTTTACGCGATAAAAATGGATTGTGCTTCTTTACTAGCCAAACAGGCTATGCAAAGTACTTTACAATACAATCTGTGCCTCATTTTCTCCTCCCCACAGACATTCATACAGCACTCTACTACATTTCTACAAAACTAATCTGGATAAATGATTCAGTTTAGACCAATTAGTGCTTTAGATCACATTCAGACACCGATGAGTCACATTGGAAGCAATGAGTTTAGTGCCCAGGGCCACTGCGACATGTGACTTCATACTGATGAAGTCGAACCTCCCACTCTCTTGTTGGAGGATAACTGTCCTTTGGATGGGAACCTATGTTGTTTTAAAACTCGTGTATACTTTCTGCGTTGATGATGCCTTTCCAGATGTGTAAGCTGCTCAGTCAAGTGGTACTAATGCATTTCCATTCTAACAAAGAGGCAGGCTTTTGAACTGAGCACTAATAATGGGCCAACGGGTCCCTCTCATTTTTGGTATGAAAGACGTGTTTTTTTTTTAAACCCCCCAATTTTTTTTTTTTAGATTTTTCTGATCAAAGAAAAGTTTTACACTTTGCATCAACCATCCATCATCTTCCTCTTATTGTAGAGCTGGGTTGTGGGGGCAGCAGTTTGAGCAGGGAGGTCCAGGCCTCTCTGTCCACAGCCACTTCTTCCAGCTCTTCTGAGAGGACTCCAAGGAGTTCCCAGGCCAACCCAGACGTAGCATGTCCTGGGTCTTCCCTGGGGTGTTTTCCCATTTGGACATGGCCAAACATCCCTTCCTAGATAGCGTTCAGGGAGCATCCTTACCAGATGCCTGAACCACCTCAACTGGCTCCTCTCAATGTGGAGGAGCAGTGGTTCTACTCCCAAGTCCCTCCTGGATAACTGAACTTAAGGGAGAGTCCAGCTACACTGTGGAGGAAACTCATTTCAACCACCTGGGGCGGCTGTGGCTGAGTGGTTAGAGCAGTCGTCCTCCAATGCGAGAGTTAAGGGTTCGAATCCATCAGCAGTCACATGCTGAATGTCCCTGGGCAAGATACTGAACTCCTCATAGCCTCTGATGTGTGTCCCATCAGTGTATGAACGTGACCCAAAGCACTGATTAGTCTCATTAGAATGATTTGTTCATTTAGCTTTGTATAGATCTAATAGAATGCTGTATGAATGGGTAAATGAGGACACAGATTGTAGTGTAACATGTCTTGAGTATCTTGAAATAAGATAGAAAGGTGTTATATAAGTACAGTCCATTTACCATTTACCTGTATCTGCAGTCTCATTTTTATGGTCACTACCCACAGTTCATGATCATAGCTGAGGGTAGTAAACCGGCCGGTCCCACTTCACCACAACAGACCGGCACAGAGTCCACAATACTGCAGAAGCTGCACAGATCCATCTGTTGAGCTCATGCTCCATTCTTTCCTCACTTGTGAACAAAACCCTGAAATACTTGAACTGAATTCTTGAACTGTAACCAGATTACTGGTAACGCTTTGAAGCTAACATTTCTGCTTCAAACTCATGTCTTCTTTCTATTGGTGTCAGGGGTGCTTTTTACTTCTTAAAAAATTATTATTAGATACATTTTCTCAAACAATAACTAAAGTTATACTATTTTTTTCCTCATTTGACTAATCTGATTCAGTGCACATGAAAACTTGTGAGTATTGTAAATCATATTTATTTAATGTCTAGAAAATCCTAAATAATCATCACACTTCCAAGTGGCACTAATGACTTTTACTGACAGATGAAAAGTTATTTATTTGTTTGTTTAACTTTTGCATTTAGATTGTGTGTCAACAACCTATCAGACAGCAGCATGGAGGTACTAGCAGAGGAGCTGTGCAAACACAAGATTGTGAAAGTTTTGGGGTGAGTGAACACAATTCCATATCAGATGTTTTAATACAAAATAATGTATAATGTATTGATGTTTGAATAGGAATATTTTGAAAGGCAGCACGGTGGCTCAGTTGGTAGAGCTGTTGTCTCTCAGTGAGAAGGTCGCAGGTTCAAATCTCCACCCTTTCTGGGTGGAGTTTGCATGTTCTCTCCGTGCTGCATGGGTTTTCTTCAGGTACTCCAGTTTTCTCCCACAGACCAAAAACATGCATATAATGAGGACTGTAACTGGTTTGTATGAGGTGTAGTATTATGCTAAAAGGCTAGGTTAGCTTCAGTTAGCTTAGAGCTCCACTACAGTCAATTTTTAATAACGGGTTCTCACTTTTTCGAGCTACTTGACAGATATGTGACAGAGGTACTGTGTTGTCGATGGTTTAATCAGTGACATGAGACGTTAATTTTCTTTGACCCATCAAAATAAATGTGGTCATTTATTAACAGAATCAAAATTTAACATCAAAACATTGTACACTTGATTATACTGATCGGCTCTGATTAATAAAACTTGGCACGTTTTACTTAATAAAAACAACAGACATTTCTGAAGATATCTGGATTAATTACTGGCAAGATAGAAGTTTAAACATGGGAAATGAAGGAGTTTAAATGGAGAAAAATGTGGAGGAAGAAAGAGTGTTGACGAGGAATGGCACCCTTCATCCGACCCCAGCTCAGCCCCGGTACACTAGGTAGTGAAGCGACTCGTTACCTTTGCAGAAGATAGGTCAGCTCCGGTACGGAGTTCCATTTCAACGCTACCTTTCAGCGTCTCCTTAGGATGGCTGAGAATCGTCCGAAGTAGTGACGGTACTCCGTTCAACAACATGCTCACCTCCCGGGTAGGTACACAGCGAGCTGTGAGTCCATCAGAGGTTCCACTCAGATGTGGAAGGCTCCATAATCCCAACTAGACTCAGAAAACTGAGTCTGAGAAAAACTCAGAAGAACTCCTAGGAACTCCAGCCGAACTCCATCAGAACCAGAAGAACTAACGGAACCAAACAACCAACTAACTAACTGCTGGAACTAGGAAGTGTCGACTTTTAAAGAGTTCTTCTTCTGGTCACTTTTAGGAAGTCCTGATTGGTTGAAGGAACCAACAGGGGTGTGGTTTTAGTTACGTCAGAGGGTCATTACAAGTCGAGAAAACATCAGAAATGTTTAGGAACGGTTAGTTACAGACAAGAAAATATTTTGGAAAAATGACAGACTTACAGGTGCCAGTTTTCTTGTTTCTGTCTGAGAGGTTTAAAAACACGACAGTTCGTTCCAATAAACTTGTTTTTGAATGTGTCCGACTTTTGACCGACATCACTCCTTCTCATTTCAGACAGAAGATCAAAAATGCATAATTACTTTGTAAAATAGACATTTAACTTGATTTCTACTTTGAATGAGGATTAAAAAAATCATTAATACTGTTTCACAGTTGATTTAAAATGAGTGGTTCACTTCAACATTTAAAAATGGTATGAACTAAACACACTTTTGATTATCAAGATATTGTAAAATAGTAATGATAATATAAAAAAGAGAGTGTTCTTTCAATTGATTAGTTCAGGATACAATTAGAAAGTCTCTGGATGAGCTAATTTGCATTTCTGGATTCAAATCAATAAAATAACAGTTCCTGTCCCATGAAGGTCTTCAGAGGCAGGTTTTGACTGGAGGCCTAGTTCACTACAGAGGATTAGCAATCACTTCAGGGTGTCGGGTCAGGACAGCAATTATATATGTCCAGTTGAGTTGAGATAAAAGGAGAGAATGTCCAGGTTCTGAGTTTAACTTGACCTTGTCTTTGGCTTGAACACAAACATTATCACTCCATTGTGGTTGAATTGGTGCGTTTGCATGTGTGTGGTTTTCTACAAGAGAATGAACAAAATATAAATGATAAGTACTAGTCTATGAGAACATATTTAAATGCAACTTAAATGTCCACATGGTAATAAACATAACTTTAAGACCTGGTTGATAATTAGCAATGAAAATGTACAGCCTAAATGCACATAAATGACTATCACATTTACAAGTACTTAACATTAAGTATACATCACACAACAATGCACAGCATAACAGTTGGAAAATATAAGCTACAGACATGAACTGCATTAATACACAGGCCTAGGCCTATAGGCCTCAAATAAGTAACATTAAGTGGTTAGCAGTTAGCTTCTCCAAAACACTCAGAAAGGCCTCGAACGATCATTGCACTTAACAGAACTTGGTCAAATACTGCTTTGAGCTTATATAGGATAATAATAGAGCAAAAATAATGTTACTCACTTCCAATGGACACACACAGGTAATGAGATTAACCAAACATGTCTGCTTCATGTCAAAGGTCTCTGAACACTAGACAGGATCACTCTTTATTGGTCGACTAGTGGTGGCACCTAGAGGCAGAAATAAAAAAAACTACAAAAAACAATCCTAAACTACAAACATAGTAAACCATTGGGCTGAAAACAAGCAAATAATGGTCTTTGTGGAGCTGGGTTGTGGGGGCAGCACATGCATGTTAGTCTGACTGGTAACTCTAAATTGTTCTTAGGTGTGAATGAGAGAGTGAATGGTTGTTTGTCTCTATGTGTCCCTGTGATGGACTGAAGACCTGTCCAAGTGTCCCTGTGATAGACTGGAGACCTGTCCAGGTGTTCCTGTGGTGGACTGGAGACCTGTGCAGGGTGCCCCCCACCTCGCACACAGTGAATGCTGGATATGGGCACCAGTAACCCGAAAAGGAAGAAATGGATACGGATGGATGGATGGATGGATGGATGGATGGATGGATGGATGGATGGAAATATTTTGATTAACAGTCATGTCCAATCAACAGGAGTCTGAGTGTTAAAGTGATAGTTCAGTTATTTTGAAGAGGCTGTATGATCAGTTTATGGTTCCAATAATATGTTGTACAATGCACATATATTTTTCTGTAGTCTGACTGCAGTCTTTTGAGTGCAAATTGTGTAAATGGATTCATGTTTTCAAGTATTTTCTTATGTTTGCTGAAAGGGATGTAAGTAGCTCTGGATGACTAAAATAACAATGGATTTATTTTTTAGCTTTTTGCTATTTGACAGTTTGTTAATTTAAAATCTTACAGCAGTGGGTGTAACTGATGATTTATAAAGTTGTATCAGTCTGTTTTGGGATCTCAGTAAGAAGAAAACAATCAGTGAAAGGACAAAGCTTTTTACTCAGAGTTTAAACTGAACTCATCACCTGTTCTGTAACAACAGGTGTTGAGTTCAGTCTCTGTTACCATGGTGATCTAGCCAGGCTCAAAGAAATCCTCTTTAGTGATGCTGAAAGCTCAAACTTTCAGCTCAACATACAGTAGCAGCTAACAGTTAAGTGAGAAATTGGTCCAGATGACATGATTTAACCTTTTTGTTATCTACCTGGATTAATGAGCTTCTTTCTTCTTTCGGCTTTTCCCTCTTCAGGGGTCGCCACAGTGAGTCATCCTCCTCCTTCTCACTCTGTCCTCTGCATACTCTGTCCTCACTCCAACTACCTCCATGTCTTCTCTGACTGCATCCATATATCTCCTCTGTATTTTTCCTGGCAGCTGCATTTCTAACATCCTTCTACCAATGTACCCATGGTTCCTCTTCTGGACGTGTCCAAACCATCTCAGTCTGGGCATCTCTAGACAGACAGACAGAGACAGAGAGATTTATTTGTCATTCGCATCTCATGTGGAACATGTCGTGGAACAAGATTATTATGTACGCAGGGTCCCAGTTAAATCAACAATAAAATGTAAACGAAAAACAGTAATAAGATCTAAGATATGAACTAAGAAAAACGTCAGCTAATAATACGCTAAGCACTAGTAGCATAAGATCAATACGTCGAACAGCAGCACGAACATGAGTCTATGTGAGCAGATGAGCACGAATGAACACAGCAACATGAAACAGATCAGCAGCAACATAATGTGATTTTTCACAGTGATTATTCTGGTTAGATATTCATGAATCTAACAGCATCAGGGTAGAAACTCTTCCTCCGTCTAGTGGTTCTGCACTTAAAGCTCCTTAACCTCCTGCCCGAGGGGAGCGGGACAAAAAGTGTGTGTGCTGGGTGAGTGGGGTCCTTCATGATGCAGGTGGCCCTCTTCCTGCATCTGGAGGTGTAAATGTCTGTCTGGGGAGGCTGACTCCAACAGTCTTCTGTGCAGCCTTTACCACTCTCTGCAAAGCTTTTCTTTTCTTCTCTCTAACTTTATCTCTCGGTTGTTCAACCTGTGCTGTACCTCTGATGATCTCATTCCTAATCTTATCCATCCTTGTCACTCCTAAGGACAACCTCAACATCTTCATTTCTGCCACTTCCAGTTCTTTCTCCTGTCTTTTTGTCAGATAGATGGATGGATGGATGGATAATATAGATAAGATAGATAAGATAGATACTTTATTGATCCCGAAGGAAATTGCATGGCGATCTGTAGCTCTCATACACACAAACAACAAGATAAAAACACACCAGAATAAAAAATATATAATAATAATAAATAAATAAAACCCTAGTATTAAAAAAGATCAATAATAATTAAACAAACAACCCAAGAGGAGATAAAGCTGTAACTATGTTGGGGGATAAAAACCAGCTAGTTTCTCTGGTTCCTGCCAGGATTGGCCGAATTATACAACCTGATGGCACGAGGGACAAATGAGTTCTTTAGTCTCTCAGTAGAACACCTCAGTGAACAAAGTTTGGAGCTCAATGAACTTTGCTGGTTAGAGAGGACAGAGTACACGGGGTGGCCCTGATTGGACATGATTGCCCTGATCTTGGAGTGCGTCCTCTGCTCCACCACCTTCTCCACAGAGTCAAGGCCCAGTCCCACCACAGAGCCCGCCTTCTTAATGAGCCTATTCAGCCTTCGGATGTCCATCTTCCTAGTGCTGCCCCCCCAACACAACACCAAAAAAAAGTATACTGGACACAATGGA